CTCCCACTTGAGCTGTACCTTTATTTCTGGTTTTTGGTGGTAAATGGAAGTGGTCAGGGACTTTCTTGCCTGGCTGGCTTGGAACCTGGCTCCAGCTTCTCACGCCTTCTTGACTCCTGACTCTAGGGCTCGGTGCTTCCTGGTCAGGGACCAGAGGGAAGATGACACTGGAAAGGGATGGAATGGGGACCTGCAGGGAGAGAATAACAAGAGATGCAGGGGTGAGGTAGAAAGGTACACTGTGGAAATGTGGAAATGTCACAGTGACCCCCCACCCCCAATGGATGGATGCTAATAAGCAAAAAAAGGGAAAACAAAGCTTAAGCGGAGAGCAGCAATGGCGGTCTAAGAGTGCTGGGGCAGGGCAGGGCAGGGCAGTGGCTGCCCACAAGTATTCTATGAAAACCTTAGCCGCTCGGGGCTGGGAGGGTGGCGCAGTGGTAGAGCGCTTGCCTTGCATGCATGAGGCCCTGGGTTCAATTCTCAGCCGGAAGTGGCGCTGTGGCTCAAGGGGTAGAGTGCTAGCCTTGAGCTGAAGAGCTGAGGGACAGCGCCCAGGCCCAGAGTTCAGGCCCCACTACTGGACCCCAAAAAAAGAAAACCTTAGCAGCCTCTTCCTAGGGTAGATTCAGAACCAGGCTGGTTCACAGAGCTGGGCTGTGGAGACATCCTTTGAATTGCAGGTGACTTGGCCAGCAGGCCCCAGCCCGCCCCGCCCCCAGAGGGTGTGGCCAGTCCCTCCGGGTAAGGGCAGGGCCAGGCTATCCCCCAGCAAGGGGCGGGGCCAAGGCCAGTGCTGGGGCTGCCCGACTGGAGCCATGGCTCAAGGCTGGTGCTTTACCATTTGAGCCACAGCTCTGCTTCCAGCTTTGTGTATGTGTGTGTGAGAGAGAGAGAGAGAGAGTTGTAAGGCTTGAACTCGCTGTCCCTGAACTCTTGTGCTCAAGGCTAATGCACAACCGCTGAGCCAAAGTGCCACATCTGGTTTTCTGGTGGTTAATAGGCAGTGAATCTCATGGACTTTCCTGCCCACTGGCTTTGAACTGTGATCCTCAGATCTCAGCCTCCTGAGTAGCTAGGACTACACCTGTGAGTTTGTTTTTTGCTGGTTAATTAGAGTTCATTTTACAAGGTTTCCTGCCTGGGTTGGCCTTGAACCAAGGTCTTCTAGTTCTCTGCCTGAGAAGCCAGGATGGCAGGTGAGGGCCAAGTCTGGCCTTGGAACACAGTAAGCAGCAGCGGTCTCGGTTGTGTATGGCAGCTTCAGATCTCAGCATTCGGCGTCCAGTTCTCACAGTTGTCTGTGTTTTTAGGTCCCACTATTCATCTCTGCATGTGTGTGCCTGCCTCTTTTCTTTTCCTGTACCTGATACATGCCTGGGATCCCGGAATGATGTTTGGCTCTGGTTGGTGCTACATGGGTTCTGGCCAGGTGCTACGTGGCTATTCCCCCAACTTCAGGGGTCAGGGGCACCCGAAGCCGTGAAGGGCAGGAGGTGACAACTGAGGTCCCTGTCCACCTGCCGCATTCTAGAATCCGACTTCAAGCTGCCATTTTGGAGGAATCTTTCATCTGGAATTGCCGGTGACCTTCCACTATGTGGCCCTAAATGCCAGGCTGGCTGCAGGCCCGCCCTGCAGGCCTTGGGCAGGAGCTCGGCCTCTTTCTCATGATTCCAGGCACACACACTTAGTCACTCACCATGAGGGCCCTCTTGTTTTTTTTTTTTTTTGGTCGGTCGTGGGGCTTGAACTCTGGGCCTGGGCGCTGTCCCTCAGCTCTTCAGATTATTGGAGATAAACATCTCATGACTTTCCTGTCCGGGCTGGCTTTGAACTGTGATCCTCAGATCTCAGCCTCCTTAGTAGCTAGGATTACAGGCGTGAGCCACCAGGGCCCGGGGTTGGGGTTTCTTTTGAATAATTTAAAATTTATGTTTATTGGAAAGACCTGACATCTTTCAGAAAGCTGATAGGCCATTCCATGTCAGGTGTCTCAAATTGGGCTCTTGTTTATAGTTCAAAATTGTGCTTTCCGGCTGGGAATGTGGCTTAGTGGTGGAGTGCTCACCTAGCATGCATGCATGAAGCCCTGGATTCCATTCCTCAGTACCATATACACAGGAAAAGCCAGAAGTGGCGCTGTGGCTCAAATGGTAGAGTGCTAGCCTTGAACACAGAGAGGCTCAGGGACAGTGTTCAGGAATGCCTGCTGCCCCCCCCCCCCAAAAAAAATTGTGCTTTCCCTGTGAAGCTCCCACATAATTTGCTGGGCAAACACACGGCTCAGAATTCAAGTCACACAATGAAGAAAGGGTGGCGTTTGAAGGGGGAGCTGTGTGCAGCTCCTGCACAGATGAAATCAACGTTAGGTGACTTACAGCGCTTAGTGCATCAGCATTCCATGCAGAGCTGGGCACCGGTGGCTTGGGTCTGCAATCCCACCCACTTGGGAAGCTCAAAATGGGAGGAAATAGTTCAAGCAGGCTTGGGCAGAAAAGTGCATGATTCCCTTCTCACATAGCAGGGGCATATGCTGAGGGGGGGAGGGGGGAAGGGGGACAGGGGTGGGTGGGAGGAGGACGGGGGAGGGGGGGTCTGTGACTGGGAGCAGCAAGGGGCCAAGCAGCCAGGGCATCATAGTCCCTGAGACTCCATTTCTATAAAGGGCCACTGGATGCCGCATGGCATGCCTGTAATCTCAGCAACAAGAAGCCTCAATAGACAGCTCAGGCTTGTGCCTGGGTGGGAAGTGAGACACTCTCCTAAAAATAACCAGTGCAAAGCAGGGCTGGAGGCAAGGCTCTAGCAAGTGTGAGGCCCTGGGCTCAAGCCCATGTAAAAAAGAAAAAAAAAAAAAGCTATGCAAATGGTCATCCTGTACTGTGTAGGGAGTGCTCAGTACAGAGGTGGCACTTTCCTGGGGAGTCCTGTGGCCCGCAGCTGGTTGGGTGGCAGGGCATGGAGGCCACGTTGTCGGTGGCTATCTTGCCCTGGTGTTGCTGTGGGGTGAGGTACAGGTGGTGGAACCGGCAGCCGGGTCTCCAGGCCCTTACTTTTCCCTCCACGTGTCCCCCTCGAACCCAGGACTCCAGTGGCCAGGCTGTCCTGCGTGGCTCTCACAGCGCGCTGGCTGGAACAATGAACAGAGCGGTGGCCAGCGAATGCTGGGAGGCGCTGAGCAGCTGTGAGACCTGCCATGTCCAGCCTTGGCCACTTGGTGTCCGGACCCAGATCAAGTCTGAGGCCCCAGGCCCCAGGTGCTGGAGCAGCCAAGGGTGCCTCCCAGGTTATTGGCTGAGCATGCAGATTCCTGGGCCCCAGGAGGGGCCCCCTGGGAACCCAGGCACTTCGTCCACTGCCATGACTGCTTCCCACTGACCCCCAGGCCCTCAGTCACCAAGCGCAGGCCTGCAGCCCCGCACCTGGCCTGCCACCCGAGGGGCGCAGGGGCCAGGCTGGACTCAGGACACCACTGGCAGTGAGGGAGATGGGGTGCAAGCCCTGTGAGGAGTCTCTTTCTGGGGCCCAGGGTGCCCACTGATAAGGTCAGGGAGCCCGGGGCACACCCACGGAGCAGCTGGGGCAGGGACACAGCCAGCTGTCAACCTGTGCGCGAGACTTTCTGGGGACAGGGCCCTGCCGGTGCCACTGCCAACAGCTGGCGCAGGTGGGGAGGCACAGATGGGGAAGGACTCGAACCTGGGGCTTGGTAGAGGCCTTACTCTGCCTGGACCAGGGCGTGGCTTGGGATGGCTCGTGGGTTAGGCCTGGTTACCCCGAGGCTGCCGCTTTCAGGTCCTGGACAGCAGCAGTGGACTCGCTGCCCCCCCCCAAAGCTGCTTCAGGGGAGTGGGGAGGGTGAGGACCGTTATGCTCTGAACACCCCAGGCAGGACCCGTAGGAAGGTTTGGGAAGGGGTGGGTGCTGATGACACCCACGCCACACAGCTACGTTAGCAACAGCCGCTGTAGGTGTGGGGGCCCCAGCCCCGCCCCCCACCCCCAGCAGAGTCGCAGGAGGGGTAGGCTGGAGGCACACATGGCTTTGGATGGCTCCGGTTTGTTTATTTTCCTTTCATATAAAAGTTACAGGTCTGCAGGAAGGGGCCGCTGTCGGGCAGGTTAGCGGGGGCTCTGCATCACGCCATGCCACGCGGGGAGGCTGTGGGGCCGCCGGGGTGGGGGGCCCATCTCAGATCAGGGTTCTGGTCAGACGCAGCCTGTCCCCACCTGCCGGGGCTCCACCGGCCCTGCTGTGAGGACGGGCCTCCGCGGGACGCCCGCTGTCCAGCCCCATCCCACAGCCCCCACGGGACAGACAAGCCGCAGCGCCGCCGGGGCAGGAGAGCAGGGGAGCCATTGGCCAATAAGTTACACACACACACACTGTGCCTCGTGTCCTCCGTGGGCAGTTCCAGGCATGGCCCCGGGGCTCCCTGGCACCGGGAGGGCTGGGCACTCTGCGGCGGGCACCAGGTCTGCTGGGAATCACAAAGGGAACCCCGCCCTGTCCTCTGCCCAGTCCCTGGACAGGCCCGCCTGGGCTGCAGGGAGCCGCCCAGGGCTGGGGGGGGGGGCTCACCTGGAGCCCGCCGCAGCCCCCCAGAGCCGGGCAGAGGATGGGAGGCAGGGAGCAAGGACTGAAATGAAAGGACTTCAAACCACCCCACGCACAACACTGCTCAGAACCCAACACCACACACACACACGCCTTAAATAACCAAGTGACAGCTGCTGCCAACTGAGGCACAGCGCCGCCGCCTCTATTTACAGGACACAGAAACACAGAAGAGGAGAAACAGCTGCTTAGAAATCCCCAGGAGCGAGTGGGCGGGGCTCCGCGGGGCAGGTGCACACAGCGTGGAACTCATGTTCCACGCCGTCGGCGCTGCCTCCGCCTCCGCCTCCCCTGTGCTGTGCGCTGGGCTGAGGGCGCCCGAGCTGTGCCCGCCCCGCCCCGCCCCACCTCCGGGGCCGGAGGTCCACACACGGCCCCAGCCTGCGGTGGTCCTGGGCACCTCTGCCTGGATCCCCGCACACCACCTGGGATCGGTACCCTTGGCAGAGCGCCTGGCTGAGAGGTGCTGCCTCCACCCCCACACGCCACACTCGGGGACCCCACAGCCCCAGTCCACAGCTGGGTACGAGGGGTCAGGAACTTTTGGCTCCTGGGGGAGCGCCAGCTAGCAGCAGCCGTGGGGCTGGGAGGGCATCAGGTGGCGGTTAAGGCACAGGGCAGGTGCGGGGTGGGGGTGTGGGCTGCGGCCCTCCCCAGGGCGGCGAAGCACCCCCACTTCTGGATCTGCTCTCCAGCTCAGCCTGGCCCAACCCGGCACCCCCTTTCCTTCGCCAACGCCTAGCTCCAGTGCGAGGAGGTGTGGGCAGGGCCTGGGACCCCGAGTGCAGACAGGGCAGCAGCCTGGCGAGGTGGGGCAGGACAAGGTGCGGGGACGGGGGCTGTGATGGGTACTAGGACTGAGCGTCACTTGCCATCCCCCCCGGGGCACACCATGGCTGAGGCGTCCGCTGTCTCTCTGGCCCTCTGCCTCCTGTGCCCAGTTGTCTCCCTGGCCCTTCTCAGCCTCCTATGCTGGGCCGATCCCGTCTGGGTGCCCTGAGTGTCTGGCCTCTGCTCCTCTGAAGGCTGGGGAGCCCGCCCCTAGGGAGGGCCGGGGTCTGCCCTCTCTGCTGGCTGACGAGGTCCTGCCCCACCTGGGCCTGGGGTACAGGAGGGGGCGCGAGGCGGGCAGAAAACAACCAGGCCAGGGGACGGTGGTTCACCAGTTAGTCCAGGCCTGCCTGCTGGCTGGCCATGGGCCCAGGGGCTGGGCCGAAGCTGCCGTGGGCTCTGCCTGAGGCCCGTGCTGGGCCGGGCCAGAGCTGGCCACCTCGGCCGGCCTGGCTGCTCCAAGTCCGCTCCTGGCGTCCAGCCCGGCTCCTAGGTCTTCTCCTCTCGGTCTGTTTTCCTCCTCGTGATGTTCCTGGGCTTAATCTTCAGTGAGAGTTCCCACAGGGCCTCCTCTGCCAGGTGATCGCTGAAGTCATTGAAGAAGTTGATGATGTCATCGTTTCTGCGAATGTCGTAATGCCTGGTGGGAGAGGGGCCGGTGAGCGCAGGACGGACGAGCAGCTGGGTGCCGTGGCATCTCTGGGGCACGTGTGGCACACTGCCACTCACACTGAGGGGGGGGGCCTGGCGTTTGGCTCTGCTCTCCTGGCCCCCAGCAGTAGGGTGTCCCCGGGGGCCACAGTGAAGCCAGCTGCCCGTCAGGCTGCAGGCAGGCCAGGAGGGCAGCCCTTCCTGCGCACATGGGGAGCAGGCCCGGGCAGGTGGGGTGCGGGGCCTCCCTGTGGCGCCTGCCCCGCCCCGCCCCGCGGCGCTGCACTCACGCCTGCTGGAAGCACCGCATGCTGTCCAGGATGTTGAACTGCTGCCACCGCTTGGAGAAGTTGACCTTCCCATCGATGAAGTCCGGGTTCCCCAGGTGGACAAAGGTCAGGTCCTGGAGGATCAGACCCCTGGGGGACGGAGACGGGGAGGGGCTGTGGCCACTCAGGGACCTACTCGAGTCTGGAGGCGGCGGTTCATGGTGAGCTGGCTTGAGGCCTGTGCCAGCCAGCTCTTGACAGTAACGCTGGCCCATGCCAGCCCCACAGCCGCCCCCAGCAGCTCAGGAAACCTCCCCAGCATGAACTCCATGTCATCAGCTCTGTGGGTCCTCCAAGCCTGCTCAGGTGCTGGAAGGTCCAAGAGTGCCACCTGCCAAGGCGGCGGAGACCCACAGGGGGCTGACCCCCGCAGAGGGCGGCACAGCTGTGCGCCTCCAGTGAGAGACAGTTACATCAAAAGTAAGGCAAAGGGCTGGGAAGGTGGCCCAGGGGTAGAGTGCTTGCCTTGCATGCATGAGGCCCTGGGTTCAATTCCTCAGCACCCCATACAAAGAAAAAGCCAGAAGTGGCGCTGTGGCTTAAGTGGTAGAGCACTAGCCTTGAGTTGGAGAGCTGAGGGACAGCGCGCAGGCCCAGAGTTCATGCCCACATGACCGGCAAAAACCACCACCAACAAAAAAATAATGGGAATCTCATGACGGGGGTAGGGGGAACCACAGCCGGAGGAGGAAAGGCAGGAGCTCAGCCGGCGTGTCCGGGCTGTACCCTGGGGCTGGGGCCTCCTAGGTGGCTGGTTCTCAGGCAGCTCTATGCACAGCCTGGCACGTGAGGGGACAGAGGCTGTGTGCATGGGAGTGGGCAGAGCTGGGGTCTTCTGTTATGGCTGTGACTCGGGACCTGCAGGTTTTACTTTGAAAGTTCATGGCAAAGCTGGACACAGTGGCTCATGTCTGTAGTCTCAGCTACTCAGGAGGCAGAGACTGGTAGGATCATGGTACCAGGCCAGCTTGGGCAAAAACTTAGGTTTATCATTTTTTTTTTTTTTTTTGGTTGGGCGTGGGGCTTGAACTCTGGGGCCTGGGCGCTGTCCCTCAGCTCTTCAGCTCAATGCGAGCGCTCTACCACTTGAGCCACAGCGCCACTTCCTGGGCAAAAACTTAGTGAGATGACATCTCAACAAACAAGCTGGGCTGGGCGACTGTGATCCCTGACCTGTGGGAGTAACCAGGAAGATTGTGTCTTGGGTTAGCTGGAGGCTAAAACGTGAATTCCTACTTGAAAATAAAGCAAAAAGGACTCGGGCCTCTGGCTCAAGGGGTAGAGCACTGTCCTAACAAGCATAAAGCTGAGTGTAAACCTCAGTACTGCTCAAAATAAAAAATGGTATGGCAGAATCACAGGTCCTGGCTGTGGGATCCAGGCTGCGGACCCTGCAGAGGAGCAGGAGAAAGGAGGAGGAGAGAGGGGAGGAGGGGGAGAGGGAGGGGGCACTCACAGGTAGGGGATGCATGGGGGCTCCACCTCCGAGAGTGCGGCCCGGTAGGCCCGGAAGGAGGACGAGCTGTCGATCAGGGTGCAGTACTCAGCCAGGCCCTGCGGGACAGAGGTAGGCCAGTGAGTGCCAAGGCCATGTCTGGTTCCGATACAAAAACCAGCCCGACTGGACCCGAGAGGGCGGGGTCCCTGGCGCGGAACCCACTAGAAGCCGGCGTCTGGAGATCAGAGGCGGAAGGTGGTGCTGGCACCCCGGTGCCAGGACCCAGGTTCTCGGGCTGGCTTGGCCTCTCTGCTCACCTCTGAGGTCTGCCTCTGCCACTCCAGTCTGCGGATGGGCGCCGAGTCCAGCGCGGAGAGGATGGCTAGGTAGGAGTTGAAGTTGTTCAGCTTCCGCAGGTGCTGCAGCGAGAGGGGGTGGCGCCATGAGGGCAGGCGGGGGGCCGGGGCCCGGCCTTCCCAGGAAGGGCCAGGGGGCTGGTCGCTCACCTTCATGATCTTGATGAACTTCAGGAGCAGTCGCTCCCGGTCCTGGGCCTTCTCCTGCAGCATGATAATGGAGCGGACCCTGTGGAGCCAGGGGCCGAGAAGCAGCAGCTGATGTCCGTGCCCTGCAGGCTCCCAGCCACAGGGGCCGCATGGCCCTAAGCCCTCTGACGCCAGGGCAGGCTGGCCGGCACACCCTGGCCTTGGCTGCTCCAGGGGACACCTAACGGTGTCCTACGCGTGCTTCCTTGTCTTGGCCTCCCACATTTGACAGCAGCCATGAGAGGGAACCTTCCAGAATCTCGGCAGCAACCAAAGCCAAACCTGGCTCTAGCCTGGGTAGCCTGGCAGTACCCTCCCCCACCTCCTGTGGTTCTTGGGGCATGCTTGCCTCAGAGAGGCACTGTCACTTCATCCTATGAAGGACGCCTGTGCCAGGGACATCTCCTGGGTGTGCTTGGAAACCAGCACACCCAGGGCTGAGGGTGCTCCTCCCGCACAGGGAGGAGTGGGGGGCACCAGCGCCGTGCCTGTCAGCAGCCCGAGCCCGCACCACGCCAGACGCTGTCAGGTGCAGCAGCTACACGGCTAATCCTAGCTCCTCAGTACATGAAGGAGATCAAAACCAGCCAGGCCAAAAGTGAGACCCCATCTCAATTATCAGGCACAGTGGTGTGATCCCAGCTACCTGGGCAGGAGGATTGTGGTCCCAGCACAGCAGGGGCAAAAAGCAAGACTTTGTCTGAAAAATAACCCAAAGCCAAAAGGACTCACGTGGTAGCGCATCTGCCCAGCCAATGCCAATACCAATACCAGAACAAAACAAACCACCACCACCAACCAAACCCACAAAGGGCTGGTTATGTGGCTCAAGTGGCAGAGTACTGGCTTGGCCCTGGGTTCAATCCTCAGCATCCCAAGAAACCAGACCAAGTCAACCAACCAACCAACAAGCTACCAGACGTGGGCACGGTGGCCACGGTAGCCGGGCAGGGTGGGGCCTGGCCCCTCTGCCCAGCTATGAGCGGCCTTCGTGGGGTGCAGCGCTTTGGGTCATGTCTTGAAGATACAAGACTTGCGAGTTATAAGTTTTAAGGACAAAGGAGAGTATTAATAGCACCAACTCCTTTGCGAGTAGCCTGTGTTGGGGACGGACGCCTGGACAGGAGTCTGGCATGGCCAGCACAGGATGGCAGATGCGAAGCGTCCTCCCCGCCACTGGTGACCACAGACATCACTAGTCAATCCCCATACTCATCTCGGCAGAATCTCTGGCGCTGCCCTAGCTAGGGCTGCAAGTAGCCAGCACACCCCTGTCCATTCCCGGCTGCCTGCCCGGTGTGAGGTGAGCGCCCACAGGCCTCATTTGAGCTCTTACGGGAACCACCACCCAGAGCAACGCAACGGCGCAGGGCCGCAGCCGCGTCTTACCAGTAGGACATATTGTTGAAGTGCTCTGTGAACTGGGTCAGGTTGGGGCTCTTCTCCTCATTCTGTTCTTTGGCCCAAAGTAAAACCTCTGGAATCTAGAAAAGGGAACAGCAATGCTGGAGCCCCCAGTGTGGCTGGGACCTGGGACCTGAGCCCGGACGTCTGCTCAGCCAGAGCCAGCCAGCAGCAGTGCCCAGGCACGGATGGGCATCTCCCTGCCGGCCAACCCACGGTACCTCGATCTTATAGAAGAGCTCGGCGTCCAGCAGTGTCAACTGCTCGGCGATTTCATGGCTGTGGAAGTCATGTAAGGTCCCTGGCCTGCGGGAAGAGAGGCGCAGGGACTTTCACAAGGCTGGGTAAGAACACATGGCCCGCATGACCCAAGGCTCGAAGGAGCAGGCAGCGGGCAGGAGCGCGCAGGAGTCAGTATCCGCCTCATCAGTGCTGGGAGATAGACCCGAGCTGAGCAGAGCCGGGCACGCTCCATGTGCTGTTAGCTCCAGTGCCCACTGCCCCTCCCGGTAACAAGTGGTGTCTTAGGCACGCCCCACACGGACCCCTTGAGGGTCAGCCACAGGGCACAGGGCTGGCCCTGTCACCTCGAGTGTCCCAGGGTCTGCAGACACAGGATGTGAGGCTGGGTAAACAGGGGCAAGTGCTGTGGAAAGGCGCTTCTCACCTGGCTGCCACGCCCCTGGCCGCCAGGGGCTGGTCGGAGTGGGCGCACCTGAGCAGCTTCTTCTGGTCCACCTTGTCCAGAATGTTCTTGCGCAGCACTCGGGCCAGGCTGAGCTCCCCACTGCTCACCAGGCGGAAGACCAACTCCATGAGCAGCTTTAGGATCTCCTCCGTCAGCTCCACCAGGCTAGAAGAGGGCACGGGGTGAGGAGCAGGCAGCCGGAGGGCCCCCCCGCTCCGCCGGGATGCAACCCGCACAGCAGTTCTGGAGCTGGGGCAGGTAAGGGGAAAGGAGTGGCCTTGCGGGCAACAGGGCCCTGCGCGGGGACTGGCCAGGCAGGGGGTGATGCCAAGAGGGCCACCTGGCTCCTAGGAGGGCACTGTCACCTCCCCGCCACGTGCTCCGTGTGGACAATGACTGCCCCGCGCCAGATGGGCTGGAGCGCAGCTCTGTGGGCCCTGGCTGCTTGGCAGGCTGTGGTGTGCTCATCACATGCACACGGCCGCCTCCCCACACTGCCCCCCATCGCTGCTACAGGCTGGGCCACCATGGCCTGGTCCTAAGACACTGGACGGAGGGACAATCCAGGGCAGGGCCACCCTGTCCTACAGGGGCAGGTTATGCAAGTCAGGGATGAGCTGTGCGGAGCACTCTGCACTGCAGGGGGGGGGGGGACGTAGTGAGCCACTCTCCCGGCAGGGCCAGCACCCCTGAGGCGGCTACCATGCCACTGAGATGCCTGCAGCCCGGCCTCCACCCTGGTGCTCACCAGAGCTCATCCACCACCCGCACCAGCACGAAGAACGTGTTCTTGCTGACGCGCTTCTTGAACGTGTCCGCGAAAGGGGAGAACTTCTCGTAGGTGGAGCTGGGGTTAAGGAAGCGGCTGGCACAGAGCTGGGCAGTGCTGGCTTCCTGCGAGGGCTCTCTGAGCCCTTTCCCCAAGCCTGAGTGCCACGGGCGCCTGGGAACCAGCAGGGGCTGTCACAGATGTGGGAGTCTGGAGGGAGCCCAGACTACACTGCTGGCCCGCAGACAGGGGTGGAGGTGGGGAAGGGGAGGGAGCCCGGGTGGCCAGGGGAGGTGAGGCGGGAACAGGGCTGCCCAGCAGGTGGCAGTCATGGCTGTGCAGCTGAGGTCTTTGGGAGCAGCAGCTCCAAGGACAGGCTGGCTTCAGCGTGAGGGGTCAGAGGCAGCTCCAGGGTCTGCCACCACCGCTGCAGTGACATTCCCCAACGGGGCAGGGCACAGCTGGAGGAGCTGACCCCAGCTGTGGACGCAGCCCAAACCCACAAGTCAGCCCGCCCTGAAGCCACAGTCTCACTTCCCTCACACCCCAGCCCTTAGTGTCCACCACCCGGAAGCCCGTGCTCAGCCTCGGTGGAGAATCTTCGCAGCACCAACCCCACTGGGATGCTTTGTGCTGCCTGCCTGCTCCCTCCCTCCCTCGTGGGTGTGTTCCATGTTTTCAGTCTTACCCAGAATCACCCAGACACCCCACCTCCAGCCTGCACTCAGCCACTCAGTTCCAGGCTCCTGGCCAGGTCCCTGGATCCCTCATGGGGAGCCAGGCCTCGGGCACCGGCCTTGGCCGGTGGGAACTGCCCAGGAAGGATATCGGTATTGCAGCTTCTTGATGAGCTCCTCAGGGCTGATGAAGGTACGGTAGGTGGTCAGGAAGGCTTCGCAGTACAGCACCAGATCTGTGGGGAGCAATGAGCTGCTGAGGAGGTTGTGTGAGTCAGGCCAGTGAGGGCCGCGGGCCGCACTCTGCCCCTCTCCAGAGGCAGGGTGGAGCACAGGGCTGGGACGATGCGGAGGGGCCTCAGGTGCAGGGCAGCCTCTGTGGGTTACAGGACACAGCCCGCGTGCCCACCGCACTCTGGGCCTTGTCATGTTAAATCAGCATCCAGATCCCTGCGTGTCCAGGCTCCTGGCTCGCAGGACCCCACCCATGAAGGGAGGGTGGTGAATTACTTCCAACTCCTTACAAGGGTCTTTTTCCTTTGTACTGGAGATTGAACCCAGGCCCACCCACTGGAACCAGGCTTTTTGATTTTGAGGTAGGGTCTTGCTCACTTTGCTGGCTTGGCCTCAAACCCTTCGTCCTTCTATCTGCCTCCCAAGGAAGTGACAAAGCACCGTAGTTCCTGAGGAAGGGGCAGGGTCTGAGCTGGGGTCTAGGACCACACAGACCGAATCTCACTCTCATCCCTGTAGCTTCTGTAAGTGCAACCCGGGCAAGGTGCATGCAAGGCCCTGCCGGGCACAGCCGACACCCAGGCCTCTCAGGCCTCCTCCTTGCTGGGGCCCTTGACACAGCACCTCGCCCCGTCCGGTGCGGCCCACGGCTTCTGCTTCAGGCACAAGGCTCCCAGTACAAACAACTCTGGGTTCTTAGGGTCCCCAATCGCCCCACTAACATAATGACACTAAAGCTTGGGCTGAGCCCTCTCCTCTCGGGAGATCCGCGGGCACAGGCCAGAGGGCTCGCAGGCTCCCCGCCCCGTGCCGCCTCTGGCCTGACCACAGCAGCGGACAGCTGGCAGGGTGGGGGAGTGAACCTTACGGAGGGCCAGGATGTAAGCCAGCTCCCATTCCAGCCCTTTGCTTTCTGACAGGAATGAAATGAAAGGGCTGTGCTGGGAGAGGAGGAGCTCTGAGGGAGCCCTGAAGGTGACCTGCCAAGGGTGGACCACCCTCAGGATGACCGTGGTGTGCCTGCGGGCACCACCTACATCATCAACCCCCCACGGATCCCTCGCGAGGCCTGGCTGAGGAGGCCGGGGTTAGATCATATGGCCTTTAACTCCAAGTCTCCAGCACTGGGCTCTACCTGGCCAGAAGAGATGAGGTAAGATTTGCTGGAGGACAAAATAGTGGAGAGGGGAGAGTTCGTGGGAGCCAGTTCTTCCCTGTCTCCCACAGCTTCTGCCAGGTAAACTTAGAAATTCTGTCACTCTGGGAAAGCCACTGTAGAAACACAAGGACAGGTGGCTTAGCAGAACAGAACTGCGTTAGGGTCACAGACTCCAGGGCACACAGCAGGGTGGGGCGCCAGCGTCCTGCATCAAGAGGGGGCCGGGCCCAGTGGAGGGCTGCCGCTGCTCTCCCTCCTCTCACCCAGCCTGCAGCCCGGACCCACTCACGGCAACCACCGGGAGGGGAGTGACAGCACTGTAGGCCACGGGAAGCCGGTGGCAGAATGTGTCTGCCGTACCTTTTCTGTCTGTCTCGGTGGCGTGGACCAGCAAGATGTCCCCCGACCCCCCACGCACATCGGGCCCGTCGTCACCCTGGAATTAAAGCAGCACAAGGAGCATGAGGCAGGGCAGAGGTGACTGTCACCACGCTACGGGGACGCCCAGTTCCCTCCGGTGTTCTTGTTGGCTCAGCAGCAGCAGCAGGCCAGGCGGCCTGCTGACACGGACAGCTGCCAGCAGCTGGGACGCATAGCACCAAGAGGCCACACGTCAGAAACGCCCAGCGACATCTGATGTCACCTCTCCGGGTGCCAGTAGGGAACCGAGACTGATTTCCAAACAGGCTTCCACCACCTGGCCTAGAGCCAAGGAGCTGCTGGTGGGGCCAGGAACGGGGGCCGCGCCAACCAGCACTGGGCCCTGCAGCCCTCAGCTCTGGAGGAGACAGAGCAACACCCGACCCTCCTCCTGCCACTGCTCCCCTAGTGCCCCCCTCCCGCCTTTGCAGGACTTGCGGGTTTCTATCCCAACTCTGGGTCCTGTGGGCATTCTGAGTTTCCTCTATCCCTGACCTGGTTTTTGGAAAGAAATTGAGCACTTCTTGGTGCAGAGGAGCTCAGCTGTCTAGGGGTCTCCTGCCAGCCCTGCCCGCTGACGGCCTGGGGTGTGGGCGTCTTCCTGGCTGAGGCCAGCCAGGGAGCAGGGCAGGGTGGCCTCCGCCCTCTCGTGCAGTCATCAAGCTGCAGCCCAGGTATGTGGCCAGCTCCCCGGGGGCCAGGCTTCCCACGAGCCCCCCCCCCCCCCCCCGCCTCTGGGGCCGCACAGGAGGTGGAAGAGGCAGGGCCCTCTAGAGCCAACTTCCTGTCATGACAGGTCTGGACTCTGGTTCTCTTAGCAGGCAGAGACCAAATGGACTATTGCACAGGAACCCGCAGAGGTCAGGCATGGCTGTGGGCTGGCAGCAGGTCCCTCATAGTACCCCTGTCACGGGGTCTGTGAGAGGCTCTGGTAGGCCCAAGAGCATTTCTACAAGCAAGAAGAAGAGGAAGAGCCCTTTTCCTCCTGGAACCCACCCCTTCCTGGAGCCTGAGAGCTGAGCCCCAGGGTCCACACCCGGCCTGGCTCACTCAGGTCTTTCTGTTGGAGACACTCCCAGGTCCTATTCTTTTTGACCCTCACCTCCTATACTTGCTTTGTGGGGCCAGTTTGTAAAGTCCAAGTCTGGGGAGTCTTTACCTCTTGCTTGAGTGTCAGCCTGGCCATAATCTCATTGTGGTCAATGAGCGATAGCTCGTCCACTTCCTCTTCTGACTGAGACTCCAGAGCATCCGGGGACTTTGGGGCCCTGGAGGGGGAAGCAATTGGCATTGCATCAAACAGGCCCTGAGCACCCCAATACCCAGAGGCCGAGCAGTGCCAGCTGGGAGGTGCAGGTCTCAGAGGTGCTCCTGGTCAGGTCTGCCTGCGTCACAGAGGCAAGATGGAACTGGATTGGTGTGCAGAGCTGGGTGTGCACCAGCTCCCAGCTCTGCTACAGATCAGCTGTGCAGCCTGGGGACCATCCCATCTCCTTGGGGTCCGCATCAGTAAACGGAAGGGGTTAAAAGCTGGCGGGAAGGAGATCTCCTAGACTACTTGTGTGAGAACTGGATTCAGTCATTCTGTCACCCTCACCAGGTGCAGCTGGCGTTCAGAGAGCAACTGTAGAGGGTCAGCAGGACAGGACCAAGTTAGCATCACTTAATCCTTTCTGAGGACCACATATCTGTTGGATCCTTGGCTCGGGAATAAGAAAGAACAGTGATCAAGCCACGTGCCAATGTCTCACAGCTGTCTTCCTAGTTACTTGGTGGCTGTGATCTGGAGGATTGTGATTTGAAGCCAGCCTGGGAGGGAAAGACTCCAAATAAATAGCAAAAAGCAGAAATGAAGACATGGTTCAAGTGGTAGGGTACTACCAGTGTAGAAAGCATGAAGCCTGGGTTCTAACTCTAATACCACACACACACACACACACACACTCATGCATGCAGGCAACAAGCTATGACCAAGCAGTCCTGTCACTTTGTCCTCAGGCACTGTCTAGTAGTAGACTGCTCCTTAGAACAAGTAGTCAAAGGCGAGTGCTGGTAAGCACAGAGGGCCCAAGGAGGCTGAGCGGAGAGCCCAGCCTGAGGTCAGGGAGGCCCGTGGGGGATGGAGGTGAGCCAGCACAGCAGTGCCTCCTCCAGTGCTGTCTCCCATGTTCCCTGGACACTGCTGGTCCAGGTGGCCACGGGGCACATGTTAAGTGCTAAGAACTGAGTAATGTGGCATTCAGGAAGATGCAATGGGCCAGACCAACAACCCCAGGCCTGGAAAACCATTCTGGCCAGGGTCCAGCCTGGGAGTGGCCTGTGTGGAAGGACAGGTGCAGTGACTGCGGCCATCGGTGTGCTCATCTTTCCGCTCTTACAAAGATGGTGGGAACTTTGTTCAGGTCCAGGGAAGGGGGTACAGAAGCCCAGCCGCTTCTGCGTGGTACACACTGGCCTTTGATGCTAGGATTGGACTGGAAAGTGCACCATTCCTGAATGGTCACTGGGATATCTCAGTCTGGGAGAATAAATAGTGTGGCAGTGCCGAGGGCAGGTGGGAGGCAGGCTGAGCAGGTGGCCTCTGCACAGGCCACACAACTACTCTCCATGTCTTTTGTTGTTGTTGTTGTTTTTTTTTGGTGTCAGTCCTGGGGCAAACTTGGCCTGGCACTGTCTCTGTTTTGTTTTTTTTTTACTTAAGGCTAGCACTCTACTACTTGAGCCACAGCTCCATTTCTGGCTTTTGGGGTAGCTAATTGGAGATAAAAGTCTCATAGACTTTCTTGCCTAGGCTGGCTTTGAACCATGATCCTCAGATCTCAGCCTCCCGAGGGTAGGTAGGATGACAAGGGTGAGCCACTGATATCTGGCTTCACACGTCTTTTTTTTTGTGCCAGTTTTTCTGCCCCTTCACCTGCTTGTGCTGAGGCCTGACCATGATAAGTGGGCACGCTCTGCCCTGCTCTGGTCCCGATCCCTGACCTGGGGAGGGGGAAGAGGCTTGAACAGGCAACGGTGACGGCTGACCACTCTGCTCCTTCACACGCACTGAGGTGCACTGGGGCTCCACTGAGCGTCTCAGGCTGGGTTTGATCTGCCTGGTGCTAACACTGGAAGTTGTGCAAGCAAGTAGCAAGACCTCACTCCACTACGGATCTTGCTATAAAAAGTTAATATGGCCAGGTGCTGGTGGCTCACGCTTGTAATCCTAGCTATTCAGGAGGCTGAGATCTGAGGATCGAGGTGCAAAGCCAGCCCGGGCAGAAAAGTCCGTGAGACTCATCTCCAATGAACCACTAGAAAACCAGACGTGGTGCTGTAGCTCAAGTGGTAGAGCACTCGTCTTGCGCTGAAGAGCTGAGGGACAGCGCCCAGGCCCAGAGTTCAAGCCCCACGACTAACAAAAAAAAAAAAAAAGTTAGTATGTATGTACAAGGCATTTGCACAAGCCTGGGGAACTGGAGCAGGGTCTGCCTACCAGATGTCAAGAGAATTTACTATTAACTATCCTAGGTGTGCTAATCAGGTAACCAGGAGTCCTAGTTGCCAAGAAAAGACCAGGGTCCTACCGCTAACTCACTTTCAGCACAGTACACACACATATAGTAACCGGTGCTTGGTGGCAGGGTTGGGGTGCTTCTACCCTCCCTGTGGTACTTCAAGTGGGAGACTAAGACCAGGAAGTTTGGCCTACGGTTTGAGAAAGAAAAGGTGGGTTCTTGCGGGCGATTTGGATGGTGGGCAGTGCAGGTGAACTCAGGAAGGGCCAGAAGGCCGGGTAGGGCCTCTGAAGTGTGGGATACTAGTGATTGCTCCATTTCCCTCAGTTTCATTATTTGAGAATCAGAAGAAAAACTCCCAATATGAAGCAGAAAGGTAGACCCAACAGGCAGGCTAGCTGCAGGCAGCTCACCCAGGAGGGATAATGCCATGTGCTCCCCGGGGGGCTGGGCCCCGCTTCCTCCTACCTCTCCCCGCCATCTCTGCTGTCCTTCCCAGGCGTGCTGACTGTCGAGGGATCTCTGGGATGTCCGTCTTTCCCAGCCGGGGTCTCCTGTAAAGAGGACAGGTGTTAGTGTTGGACTGGTGGCCCACAGCAGGCGCTTGCCCACCGAGCTGTCTCAGGCAGGGACACACGGCCACTTGTGTGGTCACTATGGGAAACAGAAGCCCTGTGGAGAACGGCATCCTGACTCAGAGCAAGCCGAGGTGACAGGGTGGCAGGCTGGACACAGCCACCTTACCACCTCCCAAACATTGCCCCAGCCCCCCGCTCGGAGCTCAGTGGGTGCTAGGCCGACCAGAGGTTCTGAACACCTATCTTCTAATAACACCCTAATAACGAGCTACCTCCACCATCACCCCCATGTGGACCAAAGCTGGGGGTGAAGGGCCTGCTGACTGAGCGCACATAGCTGTGCGTGGCAGAGTCTGGAGCCAAACCTTCCTGGCTGTGCCCTGCTGTTTTGCTCTCTAGTTCTAGAGTTTCGGGGCTAGAATGCTCCAGCAGCGACGGTCCCCAAAGGCCTGATGCAAAGACCCAGGGGTGAGGTGCCTTCCCCTCTGCCCTGCAGACTCAGGGACCCCCCCCAGCACCCCTGGGGACCACCCTGGCTGGGAGAACGGGGAGTACCACCAGGCAGAGCACTCGAGGCACAGGGAAGCCACCATCAATTAGGTGGTGTCTGTGCATACATCCCTAGAGGACTGGGAGCAGAAACTAGCTTAGCTCACCACCCACTGCGGGGGGGGGGGGGGCTCAGTGCAGTGCATCATGCTGAGGCCTGAAGGGATCTGCCGTGGTGTGGCGGCCTAGACCCTGGGAGCTGCAGCACAACCATCCTAAGGGCGCCCCGTGCTCTTCAGCACTGCGCATGCCTCCAGCAGACCGATCTCGGGGGAGGCCTCTGGTCCCTGGAGCAGTGTATCCCACTAGGGCTCAGGGTCACAGAGGACAGCCTCTTGGCTGGCCCCTGTTCTGCTGAAGCCAAACGTGGAAGAAAAATAAATCTGCTCCGAAGAACCCCAGCCCTCGGACGTGAGGTGCCGGGGCGCAGCCCTGACCGCGGGCGAGGGCAGCGGGGATTCTGCTCTCCCAGGAGGGAGGCGCACCGATGCCACAGGGCCCCTGCAGGCTCGCCAGCCTCCTGGGAGCAGCTGGGAGGAGGAGGAGGCGCATGCTGGGGGTGGTGAGGCAGGCGTGAGGGGCGGCCTCTGGGCTGGGAGAGGGAGCTTGCAAAGAAACCACAGACAGCAGCTGGACCTGGAGATTTCTAGAAAATCACCACACCTACGGAAGCAGGAGCGAGGGCAGAGCTCTCCCTAGAAGTCACGTCCTCTCCCACGGGCCGTGCGGGCTCGCGCAGGCCTGTGGGGCTGAGCCAGCTGAAGCAGGAGCAAGGGAAGCGCCTGGGAGCAGGGCCTAGCCCGGCCGGCCGGGCCCCATGCACAAGGCGGCCACCGAGGTTACTTACTCCTCGAGGGGGACCCCGCTCCTCGCTGCTCTGGCCAGAGGAACACAGACTGACATAGTCCCCCTCACCAGCTTCCACACTGGCGTTTGCGCTCTGGGGGAGACAGGGGAGAGGAAAGACAATGCGCTGGGCCCTCCAGCCAGCCCTGGGAGCTGGGGGGAGGGGGCACAGCTGGCAGGCTTGGCCAGGGCCAGGGTGCTCTTTTCAGAGAAAGAGAGGGTGTGGGAGCGGCGCTCGCAATCCCGGGAGCCTCTTCCCGGGAACGTTCCCCAGCACCGAGGGATAAGGCGGGCGCTTCTCCTCTGCAGGTGCCAAGGGCCACTCTGGAAAGTATCCCACAGAGGCCGCACCTGACTTGTGGGGTTCTTGGTATGGTGGGGGGCATCTGTGGTGACCCCCCCCCCGGCTCCTCTGCTGTGCTCGAGAAGCACCAGGGACGGTCACACAGGTCCAGAACGCAGCCTGCAGCGGGGGCGGGCCCTGTTGGGGGGGGCATCTCCTCACATCTCTGCGCTGCCACAGGGGCCTGGGCTTTCCTCCACCACCAGCCATCAGAGCTGCTGCTGGCTCCTACACTAGCCTATGACAGCCTCCTGCCCAACATGGCCAGTGGGTCCACTGTGGCAAGCGGAGTCCTCGTGGGATGGGGATTTTTGTGTAAAGGGGTCTGCCCGGGAGCAGAAGGGCGAGGACGGCGCCTGGCCAGCCTCTGCAGCCGTCGATCCAGATGCCGCCGCTGGCCGCGCAGCCGACTCTGGTGACCCTCGACACTGCTTCCTAAGACCGCGCAGGCGCGTGCAGACAAGTGTGTTCTCACCGAGTCAGTGAAAGAGGTTTCGGAAGAAAGGCGGACAGGGCCATGGCAGCTGCTCTCCTGAGAAGACGAGAGAGGCCCGTCCGTGGTGCCGGGAGGCGGCCTGGCTACGGCGGGCTCTGCCGAGTCCGAGCTCGGAGACAGGTGGACAGGTGGGAAGTGTGGAGAGGAGGAGGAGGTAGGCGGAAGGAAAGGTTGGACGGAAGCTTGGTGGTGAGGCACGAAGTCCTGTGAGTAGGACCTAAACACAGATTTGTACTACAGAGAGACGGAGGGGGACGGACACACAAGAATGTGGGAAGGAGACACAGACAGACAAGAGAAAAGTGGTTAGATTAGCCATGGCTGAGCACCAGTGGCTGCTGCTCACAGGGACCCCAGGAAGTCCCCCTTCTGGGAAGGAAGGACCTGCGCCTTTAAAAAGCCTGAAGTGCTGGCGGCTCACGCCTGTCATCCTAGCTACTCAGGAGGCTGAGAGGTAAGAATTTCAGTTCTAAGCCAACCTAGGAAGGAAAGTCTGTGAGACCCTTATCTCCAATAAACCATTTAGAATGAAAACAAAACAGAAAATCCCACAAAAACCTGGTAGTGGAGCTATGGCTCAAGTGGTAGAGCATTAGACTTGAGCAAAAAAGCTCAGAGACAGCACTCAGGCCCTGAGTTCAAGCCCCAGGACTGCCCCCCCCAAAAAAAAATTCAATATAAAGCCTGAAACAGCCAGGTGCCGGTGGCTCACGCCTGTAATCCTAGCTACTCAGGAGGCTGAGATCTGAGGATCTCGGTTCAAAGCCAGCCTGGGAAGGGAAGACTGTGAGACTCTTATCTTCAATAAACCACACAGAAAACTGGAAGTAGTGCTGTGGCTCAAGTGGTTGAGTGCTAGCCTTGAGCCGAAGAGCTCAGGGACAGCGCCCAGGCCCAGGCCCAGAGTTTAAGCCCCCATGACTGACAAAAAAGCCTGAAACACAGTGCTACTAAAATGCCAAGGCTTTCTAATCTCTTTTCTCTGCCTTTGTAAGTGAATGCAGTGATGGATACTTCCTGTCGCCCAGAGCCACACTCCCCACTTTTCATCATCTAGTCTGAGGCTACACTGAGTGTGCAGGCCTTGGTCGAGTGCACCCCAGGCCGGAGCACTGACACCGGCGCAGGCTCCTCAAACCTGCAGCCACGTGCTCACCATCGCAGGATCCCTAGTCCTCAAGACCTGTGCCTGGAAGTCCTGCTAGGCTTCACGGCCCACCATGAGGCCTGGTTACTAGGCTTTGGGTCATGCCTGCCTGGGAGCCTCCTTGGGAGAAGCTACAGTGAGTGGCTGAGAACATTGTCTCAAGTCACTTAGACACAGGCTCCATCCTTGTCACCTTCCCACTGTGGGACCAGGCAAGTGCTGGAGCCTCAGACTTCATCTTTAAAGTGAGGACGAAGCTGGGTGCCAGTAGCTCACGCCTGTCATCCTAGCTACTCAGGAGGCTGAGATCTGAGGATCGTGGTTCAAAGCCAGGCTGGGCAAGGAAAGTCGGACAGACTCATCTCTAATTAACACCAGAAAACCGAAAGTAGTGCTGTAGCTCAAGTGGTAGAGCGCTCGCCATGAGCTGGACAGCTCAGGGACTGCTAGCACCCAGGCCCAGAATTCAAACCCTATGACCGACAAAAAAAAAATTGATGACATGGACACACCTCTCAGAGGGCTCCCTTCCTCCTCCCCTCCAGGGATCTGTGCAGGGGTTACTCTGCATATCACAGCCGAGATGTCTCACGGGGAACAACGCACATTTGCCAGACAAACACTCAGGAACAGATATTATTATTTTGGTGCTAGTACTGGGGCTTGAACCCAGGGACCTTTCTTGATATTGCTTGGCTTTGCTTTTGTGTCCACAGCTAGCATCCTACCACTTGAACCATGCCTCCACTTCTTCCTTTTCTCTGGTTAATTGAAGAGTCTCTTGGATTTATCCGAGATCCTCAGATTTTAGCCTCCGGTGTAGCTATCATAGGTGTGAACCACCAGCATGCCCAGGTCATTATTAGTTTTTGAGATAAGGTCCCTTGCTATGTTGCCCAGGCTGGGCTTGAACTTGCAATCGTTCCAAGTAGCTGGGATGACAGGCATGTAGCATAGTGCCTGGCCCTGATTCTATTATTAATTAAAATGCCTAGAGCATTGCCTGACCCACAGCAGCCTATCAAATGAGAGTGAGCAGCAAGTAGAGGGAAGCCTGACCTACCACCAAGGAGGTCCCTCCTCCCCTTCTGCCCTTCCTAGTCAGCCCTCCTAGCCAACACTGGCAGGCCAGCTATGCAGTCATGCTGGGACACAGCCAGGCTCACACAGTACCTTCAGAAGCAGGGGAGACGCAGGGGAGGCCCTCCAATCACCACAAAGCCCTCGAGTTCTCCTGATGCCAGGCACCTGGCACCTGGGGTTCTGGGGACCTCTCTGTTCAACAAGTCTCTGTCCCTTCCAATTCTCTGGAGAGACACCTCCCGCCCTTCAGGACACGCCCTTGGACAGGAGAAGGGCAGTGCCGGCCCACCCCAGCCTGGAGTCTATTTTAGGATGTGGCTGGTGCCTGGCTTTGCTTCTGTTGAGCCGTGTACTCGGTGCACAGGAATTTTTATTTATAGCCAGAGTTAAGACTGTTTGAGCTGAGGGTTCTAAAACAGACAGGAGAGATTTCTGCAAGAGACCTGGAGGTGCAAATAAGTGGGCAGTCAGGAGATGGGTGCCCAGCCCCCAATGCCAGCCAGGACTGCTCGAGGCCCAGGACAGGGCCGAGGGTTCTGCTGCCCCCTCGTGTGGTAATGAAGGAACCCGGGGAGGCCACAGCAACTCAGCTGGCGAGAGTTGGGGTGAGGTGAGGGCTGTCACCCTTGGATTGTTCCAGAACACTGCACCTGCAATCAATCCTACAGCTCTGCAGGAGATGGCCTACCGTTGGTTCAGGGTCTCCTGAGCAGGGCCAGGAGTGCGGGAGCAGTGCCCCGGCCGAGTGCCAGGACAGGCAGAGGGAAGGACGACAAGCCAGCTCCCCCGGGTCTGCAGAGGAGCGGGTGCAGACGCAGTGGGGTGGGGAGATGGCCCCTGTGGGCTGGCGGGAGCAAGCAGCCTGGCAGGGAGCAGACAGTACTTCTGGAGACACCTCGTGTTCATGCGGACACTGGCATGAAGAACAGGGGGCAGGCCCTCTGCCGCCTTGGAAGAAAGAAGGAAAGCAGATCTCCCGGTGGAACTCAGCCACTGCACCGGCTCCAACGGCCAGGAGGACCTGGCCTCGAGTCTCTCAGCAGGCGAGGGCCTGCTGTCTGCGCTCCCAGCCCCGCCCGGCTCTCAGTGCTGGGGGTGGCAGGGACAGAGCGTGGGTACTGCATGGCTCCAGCTCACACGGGTGGCTCAGACCCCTGTGGTTTGGGATGCGCTTAGCAGAACAGGTAAGCCTCGGAACAGCTGCTTTTGGGTTCGAATCTCTACCTCCCTTTGGTGAGAAAGCTCAGTGCAGAGAAGCTGCTTCGGGGGCTTTTCCTCATGGGGCCTCAGCAGGTGCCCCCATCAGCACAGGCAGTGATGCAGCTGCTTGGGGGGACGCTGGCCCAACAAGGCTCTGTGGAGGTCAGCTAGGGCCATTCCTAGGACAGGGAAAGGCTCTAGAACGTTCCTCCACAATGCAAGTGGAGGGAAGAAGCCCTCTTATCCTCTCCTCTCTCCTTCCTGGTCCTCGTTTGTTGTTGTTGTTTTTTTTTGGGGGGGGGGGTCCGGTCGTGGGACCTGAACTCTGGGCCTGGGCGCTGTCCCTCAGCTCTTCAGTTCAACGCTAGCGCTCTACCACTTTAGCCACAGCACCACTTTCCGGCTTTTTTCTTTTTGCTTATGTGGTGCTGAGGAATCGAACCCAGGGCCTCATGCATGCAAGGCAAGCGCTCTACCACTGAGCCACCTTCCCAGCCCCCTATTAGTTATTTGTGAAGGCCTCTCCTGGTCCTCTGAGTTGGCCTTGGCCTTGGAGGTGCCCCCTTCCTGGGACCTCCTGTGCTAGTTTATATCATTACATTTTATGTAATGACAAAAGCCAGGCTCCAGGGCCAGGTGGCAGATCCTGAGGCCTGCGTCACAGGCGCTGCCCCCCAGGCCCCCCACAAGCTGCTTGTCTTTGCTCCTGGCAAGGAGCGCTGCTTTTGTGGGTCACCTCGTGAGGGTGCGGAGAGCACTCCCTTCACCAAGAAAGGCAGCACAAGCATCAGTACGGAACCTCACACATACCCTCTTTGTTCAAACCAACTCCCAGTGTCAGTGTTTATTTTAAAAACCATAAAAAAAAAAAAAAAAAGAAAGCAAGCAAGCTGGAAGTGGCACCGTGGCTGGAGTGCAGAGTGCCAGCCTGGAGCCAAAGAAGCTCTGGGACAGCGCCCGGCCCAAGGTCACCAAAACAAAACAAAATTTGAAAATTGTAAAAACCAAGGAGGTTAGAGCACAAAGACTGCTGGGGAGAATTCTCCTGTGACCTCCCAGGGCCTTCTGTGGGGCATTATGGATGCCTGAGACACCTCCCCCTCACTCTCTCCTTCCCCTTCCCCTCCATCTCACACTAGCACGGCTCTCACACCTCTAAGCCTCTCTGCATCTCAGGATGCTGTGCACTCACCAAGTGCTGCCCTGAACACACCGGCTCTTAGGAAGATCTAGTACAGTATAGGAAAGGGCCGGCACTTGCTCTAGCAGTCCCCCAGATTGACTTTCAGGCAGCATGGTGGGGCTACCACACTGACTTCTACAACTCTCGTTAAAGAGCCTGTTGCACGGTAGTGATGCGAGAGTGGGAAGGACAACCATGCCCCAGGAGCCAGGTCTCTACTTATCTGCAACTAGAAAGTTCATGAACACCAACCTATTGTTGTCACTGTTATTTATTTGTTGGTACCAGAGTTTGAATCCAAGGTCTCGTGGTTGCTCAGCTTACTTACTTGTGTGATTGGTACCCTACCCACTTGAGCCACACCAGCCATTTTTGGCTGGTTATTTTGGAGACAGGATCTAGCAAACTTCTGCCCAGGCTGGCTTTGAACTGTGATCCTCCAGGCCTTGGCCTCCTCAGTGTGAGCCCAGCACCTGGCCTCACTGTAGGCAGCCCCCGGCCACTGTGAAGCAGCCAGAGCCACCTTCCAAGATGCAGTGTGCACGTGCTTGCTTTTTCCCATCCTCCAACCTCTGGGCAAAACAAGTAAGCCGAGTGTATTTTTCCAGCAGAAGTTTGGATTCTGACCCTGCCTCTAAGCTTAAGACTGAACAAAAGGCTCAGCTTCTTCAGTTTTCCCCAGCTTTCAACCAGGGAAGACACATGACCAGAGTTGTAAGGAAGGGCTTGGGTCAGGGACAGGAGTGTGGTGTGACGGAAGGCCATTTGCACGGGAGAGGGAGCCGCTCTTGGGAGATCAGCTCTGGTGGTGTCCCGGCTCGCCTCCTACGGGCTTGGCTGGCCCAGCCCCTCCCTTGCTCTGAGTGAGGAGACACAAGGAGCAGAGCTGGTCTGGAAGTCTGTCCTGCTAGGAAGTGGTGACAAGGCGGGGAGCAGAGTCTGGACACACAGGAGGACGGAGGGGAGGGCTGCAGGTCTACTGCTGTCACGCGCACAGAGAGCGGCTCCAGCCCCAGCCTCTTGTTATCTCGAGACATGAAACACTCCACCCAATGTTTTAACACACACGATTACACCGATGCCCCTTTTGTGAAATGTTGGGGTGCTGTGGGGGAGGGGAGGAAGTGCAGCATGTGGGGCGAGGAGTCCATGCGGGAGGGTAGTGAGCTTGTGGGCAGCAGGTAGCAGTAGCCAGCCAGGGTCTCAGTAGACAATGTGCATGTCGGCTCTGGTGTCCCGAGGCCAGGGGCTCTCCAGCCTGCCTCTGGGGGTGTGGAGCAAGCAAGGCTGTGGTGGGGTAGGAGGTGGGAGACATCCGAAGGCAAAAAGCTTTGAATGTTCAACAGGACCCGAGGACCGTGTGGATGCTGGACACGGCACACAGGGGCTTGGGGGGGGGGCGTGTTGCGTGTGGAGGGGTGACAGGATGACACGTGGTGGCTGGGTGAACAGTGAAACAGAGCAGGTAACAGGCTGGGAGAAAGGACAGAGCGCACGGCCATTCATCCTGCGCTGACTGCCTGGAGTGTGCAGGGCCCTGAGGACTCACTCCAGACCCACAGAGGCCCTGGGAGTCCAGCCTGGGCTTATAGACTGTGCTGTGCTGCCCAGCTCCCAAGAATGGGGAGAGGCTGGGACTCGGAGTTCAAACTCATCTGAACCTTGAAATGTAGGCGCTCTTCTGGGTAAGAGGAACAGGGCAACAGGCTGGAGAGGCCACAGAGGCTTCCCACCCTCCCGGGGACCCAGGAAAGCCAGGTAGACCTGGGAGGCAGTGCCCTGGGAGGGAGGCGGTTCTGAGAAATGCCGAGTCCAGTCCCTGGGCCCCTGGGCTCGGGCCACACTCAGCAGCCGCTGTGACGTAGCTCCGCTCAGGACGGGGAGCCAGCAAACACGGGCGAGTGTGGGAAGGAACCAGTGAAGGCAAGGGCAGCGGGGACCTACTTTCCCATCAGGTGTGGGCCCGTCTCCACCTCCCCATTCCAGGCCAGTCCCCTTTCCTGTTGTACTTCTGGTGTCTCTTTCTTCTCATCTCCCCCTTCCTGGTGGGGTTCTACCCCTACCTGTGTGCCTGTGGCACTTGCAGTGGCTGTGGGGTGAATTCTTAGGGGTGGTCCGTGGCAGGCTGGGGCCGGGAGAGAGCAAGCACGCGTGCTGGGGCTGCTTCACAGTGAGGGGCAAGGCATGGGGGCCGAGAATTGCGCAAGGCCTTCTAGGAAGAGCACGTGTGCCAACGCACAGAATCCCCGGTCCAAGCTCTCAGGAAAGTGATGCCGCCCTAATCACACCACGGCTCTGGGATGACACACACTTTGTTTTCTTACCCCTAAGATTGTTTTTTAAAACATGGCTGCTATTACTGGCCAAAAATGGGATCTCAAAATGGGATCTGCTGGGGGGGAAGGGGGGGGAGGAGAAGGGTTGGGATTGGGGGGGAGGGGGGAGGCTGGGAAGGGATGTGAAGGGTAAACCAAAGGAGGAGGCTGCAATGCTTGGTAAGAAATGTACGCATTATCCTGCCCATGTAATTGTAACCCCTCTGTACAGTATGTTCACAAATAAAAATAAATAAATAAATTAAATTAAAAAAATGGGATCTGCTGGCAGTATTGGTTACCCAGAGTTATTCTGCAAGCCAAGATGGCAAAGGAACCTAAGAAGAGATTTCTAGCATCCTGGCAGGTCTCCTGGTGGTGGTAGCACCCATGACTTTCCACCAGAGACAGAGGCACGAGAACAGTCTGGGATGGAGGGGTGAGATTCCTAACGTTGGCTCATCGGCGCCTGGAGTGCACTAGCCGCCTGTGAACCAGACTACTGCCCGTGTGAACCAAACCTCAAACTCTAAAGACGCGCTTGGCGAGAGCCCCACGCAGGACGTGGCTAGGACATGGCTGCAGCATGAGGTGTGGAGGGACAGGAGAAGGTGGGCAGTCCCGCAGGTGGGGCCACCGTGAGGACGTGCCAGGTTGCTCAAGGGTAGCAGAGCTAGAACGCTGCATCAGGAGCATTCTGGGTGGAGGAATGACCGGCACCACCGCAGAAGGCTCCGGCAGCACAGGGCTGGTGGGGGATGGTAAGGCTACCCCTTGTCTAGCAGACCACGCCAGGCCCACAGTCAGGAGTGACCGGCCACCCACAGGGCCTCTGTGAAGGCTATCCCGACTCTGGCCAGCCTTCCTGACCCCTGGTGCCCATCGCTCCCCTAGCACCTGTCCTTAATGAGCTGCTTTCAACACCCTCGAGGACACAGGTCAGGTTCACATCTCCCAGACCAATGCCCACGGCAGGAAAGAAACACAGAGCAAGGCTGCTCCCAAGTTAGCAGTATCTGCTAGCACTGTGGACACCATGGGTGGCGTGAGGAGCGTATATGACCGCCCATCCCGTGACCTGCTCTCAGGCTCAGGATGGAGCCTGAAGCCGCTAAGCTCAGTCTTCAAATGTGCATGCGGGTGGAGTGCAGGGGCCTAAGAAGGTGGGGGAGGGCAAGCTACTGTTCTAGCCTTTTTTTTTTTTTTTTTGGTCCATCGTGGGGCCTGAACTCTGGGCCTGGGTGCTGTCTCTCAGCTCTTCAGCTCAAGGCTAGTGCTCTACCACTTGAGCCACAGCGCCACTGCCAGCTTTTTCTGCTTATGGAACTGAGGAATCGATCCCAGGGCTTCATACATACTAGGCCAGCACTCTACCACTGAGCCACCTTCCCAGCCTTGGAAAGTCTTTGACTGGCTTTCCCCGCCCTCTGCTTCCCAGAAACCAACTGACCTTCAAGCCACGGCTCAAGCTCCGCCCCCTGGGCTACCCTCCCTCAGCCCTTGGGTGAGCCCACACTTCTTTCCATCCACTGAATTAGAAGCCCCGCAGGTGGGGCTCAGACAGGGGGTGTCCCAGGACTAAGCTCATCCCTGGGACTCTGGGAAGAGTCAAAGATTACCGACCCAGTGCCCACTTTAGTTTATGTTGTCCAGTGCCAGTTAACTCCTCTACCAACGTCATCAATAGATCTTGGAGAAGTTACGGGTCGCTATGCCAAGAACCACTTGACATATCCAGCCTGGCCTGATGGCCCAGACCCAGGGACACAGGGCAAAGAGACTCAGGAACGAAGGGCAGCTCTGATCATAATCCAAAGCCCCAAGTCTGGGCTCATTTTAGACCCTACCAGAGACCCCAGGAAAGATGTCGGTGTTACTCTAGCACACAGACATCCTCTGCTCCAAACATCAGGCCGTGACACGCAGCTCTGAGGCTCTGTCCTTAACAAAGCCCAGTGGCACCTTCTTCAGATGACCTCACTACAGGCAGCCGTCTTGGCCTTGGGCACTGGATTGCACTAGACAAAATCAAACCAGGAACCTGGGTAGGTTCTAGAGTCATCCAGTCCAAGCCTGTCACTTAGGAGCAGGGGTGGTGGTGGTGCAAACAGACTGAGCCACCCGCCCCACTTGAGTAAAGAATGAGAAGCAGCGGAAGTCAGGACACCAAGAGCATGCTTTCTAAGCTTGCCTCACGCGCATCCTCCCGTCTCACGCAAAGCAGGTACAATCCCAGGGGAGAGACCCAAAGGCCACGCGGATTTCCAGGGGACAGAACTGGCTCTGCTCCCTGGGCCTGGGAGACTTCAGAAGGCATGTAGAGAGAACGGTGGCGGTCTCGGCTCACAAAGCCGCGCCTCCTCCTGGCCAGCAGAGAGCTGCCCACAGGCTGGCCTGTGCTGGGTGCCAGCAGCACTTCCTGTGAGGAGCAGGGTCTCCATCTGGGCAGCCCTGGGCCTTCACTCAGGGGCTGCCACGGAGTGAGGTGTCAGGCGCCTGGCATGCTTCCATGTGCTCTCCTGGAGCCCTGCCAACTACCAAGAGAATGAGCCCAGGCCGGCCTGATGGCGGTGGCAGACACATCAGCCCAACCGCCCCGGCTAAGGTCTAGAGATGTCAGCCTTGGCCCGAAGAGCACAAGCGTCTTTCCAGGGCGGCCATCCTGTCCTAAGCCAAGATCAGTGGTGACTGTTTTAGTTGTGGGGCGGTCGGTTCCGTGGTGGAAGCTGACTGACGTGATCTGCAGGCTGTCCCGCACTGGGGACGCAGCACTGGCTGCTGGCCTAGCCTCCCACGTGAGGACTCCCTCCTCATCACAGCGCTTGAGCGCGCAGACAGCTCTGCCCTTCAAGCCAGCATGCCACACGTGGCCACCCACGTCCCCTACCCCCCTGGGCAACCTCAGTGTGTGAGGCCCAGAGAGCCCACAGCTCCTCCCCTTCCCTGTGGCCACGCAGGGTCTGCATGAGCATGGAGCAGTGGGACCCCACGTTGGGAGGCCCCACGGCAGAGGGTGGAGTGTTCTCATGTTTCCAGGTGGAGCGGCGGGGAGCGACTCACCGAGGGCACGGGCAAGCTGCCGTGCCGGCTGAGAAAGGAGTTAGACACGGACACACTGAGGCCCTGAGTGGCACTGCCGTCCTCGGGGGTGAAGGCCACTTTAGTTTGCTGGACACAGTAGGAGACAGAAGAGAAGGAAGAAGCAGCAAAGGAGGCCTGCTGGGCAGAGAGAGGGTGAGGAGAAGGCAGGGAGAGGGAGAAAGCAGAGAACAGTCAGCGTGATGGCCAGAGGCCGAAGAGGCTCCTACCTAATTCTGTTCAGGGACGGTCTAGAGAGGGACAGCTGCGTGGCTCCTTTTGGACGTAGAAACACCTGCCAAGGGGGCCTGAGGGAGTGGACGTTCCCCTCCCCCACGAGAGCGCTGAGTGAGCCGCAGGCAGATGGCAATCTGGGAAGGCCTGCGCCCGGGAAGGAACAGCTGCGTCACTGTCCCTGACTCCGCGGGGCTCACACTTGGGGAGCAGCCTGCTGGGTGGGGATCGGGCCTGCCAATGGCCACCTGTTGGTCCTGGGCACTCTCTAAAGACCTCAGCATTCAGGACTGCCTTGGGTAGTGTGCGGCAAACTCTGGCTGCTCTCGTGTGGAGCTGCGATTCAGTGAAATGGCTCAAAAGCAGTTGGACTCCTGTTTGCACTGTACACAGGCTGACAAGTGTGAGCAAGTATCACCAGCATTTTCATGTGATTTGAGGGCCTGTCACGTTTGGCCTGGGCCTGGGCCTGGGCTGGAGCTAGGCTTGGTTCCCAGGTCTCTGACTAGCTGCGGCCTGGGTTTATTGTACCAGGAGCTGTGGTGAGGGCCATGTGCTGGCTGGGCAGGCCTCTGCCAGACGGCCTTGTGCCAGCTTGTAGTGTGGTACAGAAGGCCAGGACACTCCCGGGGATGGGTCTGGGACCACGAGCTCATGGGGGATCTGTCCCCAAATACTCAGAGCCGAGACTCAGTACATGCGAGGTGTCCCTATACCTCGTAAGCTCTCAGTGAGATTTCCACCGACATCTCAGGGGAGGGCCATAGAGAGGCCTTGTGTTCCCACACTGAAGACACATTGGTGGGCTATTTTCTGAGACCCCGAATGCAGCTCATCTGGGAGCCCAGTCCCAGCTCAGTCCCTCATTTCTAGACAAGGCTGCCTCTGTCCTAGCCAGCTGTACTTTTGGGGAGGAGCAACATAGCCCGTTGGGTCAGCCAGGACCTACTGAGGGTAGATGGTTTGGAATTCCCAGGACCAGACGGAGCCCGGGGCTGTCTGTCCCCTAGTGGGCAGCTGCCTTCCACAATGTCAGAGTAGCACCTTCGTGTCTGCCTACAAAATGATGGGAGAATGGCCTAGCTGGCCACATCAGGCCCTCTCATTAGAGAGTTACAAGCCTGGCTAGCACTTAAAATGATATGTGCAGTTCTGAAAGGGCCGAGACCTCTCTTTGGGAGTGTGTGGCTGCACGTGTCCTGGGTCCCCAGCCTGGTGAGAGCCCACCAGGTCTGCGAAGGCAGCAGATCAAGGATGGACGCATCCATCCATACACTGGTTTGCCAGCCGGTGAGTGCCTGGGTAGTGCCCCAAGCAGGACAGGCCTGCCATCAGCCTGCGCCTCGCTTCCCTCCCCACACAGAGCTGTGTTCGTGGAGAACGGGGGTGGGGAGGTCTGTCTGCTGCACCCACAGTGCCATCTAGAGTGGTTCTGTTCAGTGGAGCTCATTCTCATGGCCCATCCCTGCCCAGGGCTGGCGTGCCAGTCACTCCCTACAGGCAGGCCCATCACAGAATCCAGTCCACAGACGGCCAGCCACAGACTATATACCCCGCACTTTGATTGAGTCCCTCTTTCTGTGGGATTTACGTTGGAGCCAAAGAAGAAAGAAAAAAAAAGTGTAAGAGCTGGTCAGCAGAGAAAGCAAACGTTCTGAGCACAAGCCTGTCCCAGCTGTGTGGGCTGCTCTGGAACTCTCTGGGGAGGGGACAGGCTGCCAGCACACATCCCCAGAGGAGGTGAAGGTGCCCACGAGGGACGCAGTGCCATCCACACCCAAGCCCTGCACTGTGCCAAGGACCGAGAGGACTAGCCCCGCCGCTGTGGGGAAGGCCTTAGCTACCGATGCCAGTCAGGAATGCTGGTTTGGAAGGCCACGTGCCAGGAAGGGGCTGCTTACCAGCTGCCGCTGCTTGGGGGGGAGGGCGGGTGGCGGGGCCAGCTCCTGGGCAGCGTCTCCGGCACCAAAGGAGTCGCTGAAGCCGTAGACCTCCATGAGCATCTTGTTCTTCTGCTGGTAGATGTGCTCGCTCTGCGGCGTCTGGTAGAACACGGACGGCTGCGGCTCAGAGTAGTCCTCCAGCAGCTGCATGTAGGCCAGCACTGTGGGACAGAGGGTGGCCTGGTGATCTCTCATAGGAGTACAGCGCGGGGCCTCCACGTGCCCCGTGTCTGCGTGTGCACACTGTGGAGGGGCCAGGCAGAGCTCCGAGTCTCAGGGCAGCACGCTAGGCCGGCTATCCTGCCAGGGTGGACATTTGCCACGCCAGTGCCCTCCTGTGCCCCGTGGGTGCTAGGCAGTGATGGTGGTCAGGAGAGGCTCATCCACGGTAGCAGGCTCCCCCTTTGCTGGGGGGATTCACCGCAGGAGGCTTCCTGTGCAGGGGGTGAGCAGCTACGGGACATTTCTGTACTTTTCCATTTCATGTTGCTGTGAATCTAAAACTGCCCTGAAAATAGTGCATTTAAAGCACACTTCACACCTGTAATCCTAGCTAACCCACAGGCTGAGATCTCGGGATTGAAGTTCAAAGCCAGTGTAGGCTACAGAAAGTCTGCAAGACTCTTACCTCCAATTCACCACCAGAAAACTAGCAGTAGAGCTGTGGCTCAAGTAGGAGAGAGCTAGCCTCGAGCAGAAAAGCCTAGGGACAACACCCAGACCCTGAGTTCAAGTCCCATTACTGAAAAATGAACAAGAAACAAAAGCGAGTACACAGGGCATCTTGCTCCCTGCCTGAAAACCCTGGGAGGTTCTAACCATGCTAGGCAGCACCATTTTGGGGGACTCTGGTAGCTGGGCACATCCTCAACTCTCACTCTTCCTAGCCCTTGGGCTCAGCGCTGGCTACACTACCTTACAGGTTTCCAGAACATACTCCTGATGCTCCTGCTAACTGTGCCTGGGGTCGCATGTGCAGCCCCTCCCCACCAGTGTTTCTTCTCAGTCCCCCTCCCCGCACGGAGCCTAGGCTTATTCACCCAGTGTTTTCTGAGCGCTAGTTGGAGTAAGAGAGTGCAAGCGCTGGCAGTCTGGGTCCCCGGCTGTGAGGGCTTCATGCTCTCCTGGGACAACAGGAAGCGGAGCCGTGCATGGGGTAGCAGAAAGAGGAGACATGGGGAAAAAGGTAAGGTGGACACGGATGCCACTGTAGACCACGGGAAGACTGCAGAAAGACTGGAGAGGAACCTCCACACTGAACCTGCAGGCTGCACAAAGGTGGAGGCCAGGAGAGGGCAGGTATCGCGCACAGCGGGCAGGAAGGTGGAGGGGGCCTGGCAGGGCTGTGCCGGCAGGCAGGGCAGTGGGCTTGTTCTGACATGGCAGTCACTGCAGGCGCCACTGAGTGTGCCCGGGACTGGAGCCCTGAGTGACTCTGGGTTGTGGGGCTGTTCGGGTGAGGGGCTGTGGTTCAGACTGTGTTCACCTAAGGGCTCTGGAAGGGCTCCACACTGGGTCACGGGTGTGCCATCAACGTTTGAAACTCTACACATGGTGCACACGCCCCTGCCAGCAGCCCTAGCATGGTGCCAGGGAACCACCAGGGACGCAGTGATGCAGGGTGCAGGCCGGACCCGGGGCCCCCCACCAGTGAGGGGCAGTGCAGGGACAGTGCAAGGGCGAGACAGGAAGGGCTCCGTCAGACACATCCGCCCTGCCATCATCCATACAGATGGCTGAGGAACCGCGTCTCCGTGGAGCCGACTGTCATAACCCAGCCCCGGGGCAGGCCAGCGCCTCGCCTGGGCAGGGGGGCAGAAAACAACAGCAGGGCAGCCCCACCTGGGAGGTGACAGGGCAGAGAACAAAGAGCTCCGCTGTCACACGGGGTGATCTCATCCTCGCGGGGCCTCTCCACACGGCAGGTGCAGAGCCCTCGGCCTCACGTGGGTGTGGGTGCCAGGGGAGCACTTTGTGCCTGACTATGGGGCTAGCTGGCTGCGCAGCCCGGAGGCTCAGAGTCTGCACGGCGGCCCTTCCTCTAACACCCAGCAACACGCAGTAACATGCAGGCTGCACGCGGCTCTGATGCTGTCCACAGCTGGCATCCTGGTACCTGTGTCCTTGCTCTCTGTGCACTGAGAGGCTCCTGGCCAGGGATGACCCCTCTGCACATATAGGGGAGCAGGGCTGGGGCGGGGGTCCCCGGACACCTGCTTCAGCAACTCACAAGGGAACTAATGCACTGATAGCTGGGAAGGAAGGGGACCCTGGGTTTGGAAGCAAAGGACCTGTGGTAGAAGCAGGGATGAAGAGATCCTTCCCCACAGCGCCCCTGCGGGGGGAGCTGGAATTCAAGCCCGTGTTGCAGGGAACCGGAAGTCCAGGTCTAGCTTGTGGGTGTTCTCTGCTGGGATCACAGTGGCGATGTGTGGTTAAGTTCTACTTACATTCAAATACCTGCCTCCATTCACACACAGGCTGCCGCAGCGCCGTGTGGGAGGACACGCATTCCCTCACCACCCTGCAGTCCACACGGTCCCCCAGCCGTCATCTAAGGAGGAGGCTCTCAGCTCTGGGGGGCTGGGGCTTGGAGGACCTGCAGCCTCACCCTGCCTGAGAGGACGGGGGTCGCGCTCCGCGAGCTCTCGGCGAACGCTTACTGTTTTTGTTTTTCTTCTCTGGTAGAGGCGGTGGCTTCTCGGGGTCACCTGCTGATTCTGGAGCAGTGAAGCCTGCGGGCTGGAAGGGGAGGACAGCGGCGAAGGGCGGGTAGGGGCCGGGCGGGCCGGGGGTCTGGCTCTGCAGGTCATCCTCGGAGAGGTTGTCGTACTGCGAGGGGTGCCGCTCGTAGGGCGTCCTGCTGCCGGAGCCGTCCGGGCCCTGCGAGGCGGCGCTGCGGCGCTTCTTCTCAGGAAGGGCGGGTGGGGTGTCCATCTGCTGCCCTGGGGCCAAGGGCACCTCAGGCTGGGGACAGCCGCCCAGGGGCAGCTGGAAAGGGTGGCCAAGAAACGGAGATCCCGACTCCCCCAGGGACTCTGGCAGCGGGCTAAGGTGACAGGCTGCTTGCTGAGGCATCTGGTCCGCGTCGGAGAGGTCTTGCTGGAGGAATTCGTAGTCAGGATCATAGTGATCTGGAAGGCGACAGCGGAGTGTGTTACTTAGGGCCCGGGACAACGGCCGCCCCTTCTTGCTCACCCCAACCTGGCTCTCAGAGGGAGGTAAGACCGGCTTTACTTATCAGTCTTCACTCTAAGAACAGGAATCAAACAGACCGGATGCGGCTGTGGCTAGACTGCTCTGGAGCCTTCCTATGCATAGGCCCGCCTTTCACTTGTATACAAGGGCTGGAGATGGAGCCAGGGTGGTGAACACACGGCGCAAGCATCTCGGCTCTGAGCCTCATCCCCAGCCCTTTCCTGTATTAAAAAAAGTTCTTCCTAAAGAAACCCCAAACTGGACTGGGAAGGTAGCTCAGTGGTAGAGCGCTTGCCTTGCATGCCTGAGGCCCTGGGTTCGATTCCTCAGCACCACATAAGCAAAAAGAAAAAAGCCTGAAGTGGCGCTGTGGCTCAAGTGGTAGAGTGCTAGCCTTGAGCTGAAGAGCTGAGGGACAGCGCCCAGGCCCAGAGTTCAGGCCCCACGACCGGACCCCCCCCCAAAAAAAAGAAACCCCAAACAGCAACAAATAAACGAATAGTCATGAAATTAAAAATCCCAGAATCTGTTATCTCTGTTCACATCTTCAGGTATTTTCCTAAGTTTCCCCACAGCACCCATGGGATTTCTTTTCTTCTTTTTGTCAGTCATGGGGCTTGAACTCGGGGCTTGGGCGCTGTCCCTGAGCTTTTTCACTCAAGGCTAGTGCTTTACCACTTAGAGCCCCAGCACCGCTTCTGGTTCTCTGGGTGTTAACTGGAGCTAAGAATCTCAAAGACTTTCCTGCCTGGGCTGGCTTTGAAGTGCAATCCATAAGGATCTCAGCCTCCTGAGTAGCTAGGATTACAGATGTGAGCCGTGGTGCCAGCAAGATTTCTTTTCTTTAACCTAATTTAAGGCCATGTAAATGGTCTCCTCCACTCATCATCATAACCGATATTTAGCTATGGATTACCACCCCAGGACGCGTCTGATCCCCATTTGCGAGCTGGCAGCGTTCCCAGATGGCCGCCCCAATGCCTCTGTGCCTGGCCTCCCTGCTGAGAAGCCTCGCACACATCTGTGAGTGCTCTCAGCACGCTTCCCAGAAGGGAAACAGCAAGCTCACAGGGCACAAACAGCCTAGTGCTCCCGGGCCCATGACAAACTGCCCTGTGACCTCGATGGGTCCACGTAGCCAAGGCCAGCCCTGACCACCAACGGCAGCAGACCAATCCTCTGTCACCTCTGTCCAATGCTGGCAGGTGCCCGGCTCCTCTCGGAGGGGCAGGCTGCCCACAGGGACAGGAATCACTTGAGCAGCTATCCGAAGGCTCCTTGGAAGCAGACCTTACCCTCAATCTGCAGAAGAGGAAACTGAGGCTCCCACCGGCTGGGGTCACCCAGCCAGTGCCTGACGCCCAGCTGGGACTCAGGCAGGCCAGATCTGCTGGGCAGGGAGGGAGGCGGCTGCCACGGCTCACCTAGCGTTTCACAGCTTGTGTTCCGGGAGCCCTGCCCGCTGTCCCTGTCCAGGGAGGAGAGCTGCTCGTCCGATCGGCTGAGCTTGCCTGTGCTGCTGCAGGGGGACAGGCGGGGCGACTCGCCGCCACACGACCGGCTGCCTCCGGACAGGCGCCTCTGTGCGTAACAGTCCACGTCGAAATCCTCGGAGAAGAAGAGGACAAGCTCAGCGCCTCTGGGGCAGGGCGGCAGAGGGCAGGGGGCAGGGGGCAGTGGGTGGATGGCAGGTGCGACAGGACCAGCGAGAGGCTGTCCCGGAGCCTGGACGGAAGCCGCACAGGGCTGGAGTGTGCGGACGCGGGGGGCCCTGGGAGACGGCTGCAGCCGCCAACCCCCGGCCTGAGCCCTTCCCCCCCCCGGCTTCTGAGGGTGCTGCAGTACCTGTCTGTTGATTCCCACAGGCAAGCTGGAGCCGCTGGTGGCCCGGCTCATGGGGGCCACCACGGCCACTCGGGTAGGGGATGGAGCCGACTGTCTTTTCTTAGGTGGCAATGCTGGGGGACTGAAAGAGACAGAACATCCTGGCAAACCAAACACTGCAAATAGGGACACTTTAGAACCACTGTAGGCAGAATGTGGGTGACTATTACTACGACTCCCCACCTGCGATTCTCATTCTTGACTTCCCATCTACTCCCCTCCTGCCAAAATAATATCTATATCTATAATGTCAAGCATGAAAACTAGCAAGACCCCTTTTTTCCCTTTTATAGTAAATGATACCAAGTTTCACTTTAGTGACACTTAGAGCATGTGCAAGGGCCCTGGGGCAGAGCATCTAAGGAAGCAGGGCCTGAGTACCCAGCATGTGCCCCAGTTACGCCCCCTTCCTTGTGCTCATTCTACCATCTTATCCCCACATCATGTACAAGTAGCGAAGGCCCTGGGAGAGGGTTACCTATTATCAACCACCCGGATGCCAGGCAAGGGGGGCTTAGGGGGCGCGGCCTCTTCGTCGGCTGAGTCTGGGAGTAGCTCTGTGGAGGTCGATGCACTTGTTGCCTTGTTTAGAATCTCCATTTCTCGGTCTGTCAAGGGGAGTTCGGGCTGACTGGAGAGACAGCAAGAACTTGGTTATAGAAGGCTCAGAGCATGAGTGGGCCGGGGAGGGGGAGAGAAAGGGGTGTCACACAGAGCCCCAGAGTCCCCGCTGCATTTAACCACTGCAAACTACCAGAGCTTGGCCAGGCCTGTGCTGGGAACCCTAGTTTCCTCAAATGAAATCGGAAGGCTTGACTAGAGGTTCTCCAGGTGTGCTAAATGCTCCAAGTTCACATTTTCTCTTTCTACCAGGAGCTGAGAGCAGGAAGTAATGCAAGGCCCCACCGCTGTCCATGCGGCCCTCAGATAATTCTCTTGACAAAGGTAACATCATGAACATTGATTGGGTGGTTCCCCGGAAGGTGCTCTGGGGGAGCTGCCTGGCTCAGCATCTTTGCTGCAACGCTGAACGTCACCTGAGACGTTAGGCTTGACGGGAAGCTGACGTGCAACAAGCACGCCTTCGATGACACGCGCCCTCCCAGAGCCCACCTCTGAAAAGGGGCGGCACTGCAGTCAGCGACCGTCCGCGCGGCCGCTGCGGTGGCGGGGCTGGTCAGCACTCACCTGTCAGGCTTGCCGGCTGGGGAGCTGGGCTTCACAGGGCTGGTTGGAGACGGCCGTCCCTGCTTCTCGATGGTCAGCCTGACCAGCTCCTGCGCCCCACACGGGAGAAAGGCACTGACCCCAGGCAAGCGCTCCCCTGCCCTCCACCCGCACAGCAGCTTTACATGCCATAGGTCACTGGCAACTTGCCCAAGTGACCCTGCCCTCCAAAAATGCCAGAGCCTCATGCACGACACTTCCTCTTGGGCGGAAAGTGGTAAACCCCACATTCACCTAACGGCTACCCGACTGCCAAGTCAAACTCCAGGAGAGCACATACTTGGCAGCATGGTAGTGGCAGCATTTTTAGTTTCCTAAAATTCCTTTTTTTTCTTCTGTCAGTTGTGGGGCTTGAACTCTGGGCCTGGGAGCTGTCCCTGAACTTTAATGCTCAAGGAGAGCATGTTCTACCACTTGAGCCACAGTGCCCCTTCAGGTTTTCTGGTGGTTCATTGGAGATAAGAGTCTCATGATTTTCCTATGGAGCTAGCTATGAACTGCGATCCTCAGATCTCAGCCTCCTGAGTACCTAGAATTACAGGTGTGAGGCACTGGGGCTCAACTCTCCCTTCCTTTAACAGCTTTCTAGAGCTGTAATTCACATGCTGCGTACAGTTCCATGGTTTTTGTGTCTGTAGAGTTGTACAACCACCGATGCGACCCACTGCCTCAGAAATGCTGCCCGCGCAGCCCTCTCCTCTCCCTCCCCTGGGCCCCATCTGCACAGACCTGTCTCCACCATCTTCCTTCTGGGGAGGGCACGTGTGTCCCGTCCCCCCCCCCCCCCCCCCCGCTTCCCTGGCCCCATCCCTCCCATCGCCCTCACAGGCGCGGCAGGACCGCTGTGCCCAGAGCTTTCAGGCTTCAGCACAAACAGCATTTCCTCTCTAACCCAAGGCTTTGACGTCATGAAGCGAATACAACCCACGCCATCACTGAGGCAGCTGGGGCCTCCTGAGCAAAGACTCCTTCACAAGCAGAGGCTAGACAAACGATGGGCATGCCCAGATAAAGTCCAAGGAAGAAATTCACAGCTATAAACAACGGTCACAGTCACAGAGGCTAGACAAATGATGCACATGCCCAGATAAAGTCCAAGGAAGAAATTCACAGCTATAAACAACGGTCACAGTCATAAGCTTTTCTGTGGCTTTGATGGCAGTAAGATAGAAACTTCCAGATGCATGGGAGCTGGGCAGAAGGGTCACTGTAGGCGGGAGGGTGGGGGGAGCGGAGATGGCTTTCCAGCATGCATCAAAGGCCTGAAATGTCTGTTATGAGAATTTTGCCCAAGGAAAATGTCATGAATGTGTGCAAATACTCAGCCACAAAGGATGGCCATCACAGAACAGATCAGACCGTTTGGTATAATCTAATTAAAGACAGCCCAACAGGAGACTACTGTACGGTCATCAAGAACCGAGTCACATCTGGGCATGGTAGTGCATGCCTGTAGTGCACTTGGAAGGCTGGGGTAGGAGGATTGTTGGTTTAGGCCAGTCTGCACAACACAGTGAGACAAGACACAAAATCACAGCACAGAAGGACAGGACAGGAGCCCGGTTGGCAGAGGGGAGAATCTTCAAGCATCTTGCTACCACAACACAGAAGTTTAGTAGTTAAGCAAGTCTGCTGGCTCGTGATACACAGGACAGGAGGGAGGAGGGGGAAGGGCAGCGTGCAGCCATGGCCTAGAGGCTGGGGGGCACAGCGCTCTGAAAACCCTGCTACCACACTGGGGCCAGAGCGCCAGACCCATAGGACCTGGAAGCCCTATGTTCTTCCTTTTGTGTGTTGGCTCTGGGGCTTGAACTCAAGAGTCTGGGTGCTGTCCCTGAGCTTTTTTTGCTCAAGGCTAACATTCTAGCACTTGAGCCACGACTTCACTTCTGGGCGGCTTGTGTGTGTCTGTGTTTGTGTGTGTCTGTGTCTGTGTTTTGGGCGGGGGAGGTGTTAATTGGAGATAAGGGTCTCATAGACTCCTCTCTAGCTGGCTTTGAACCGAGGTCCTCAGATCTCAGCCTCCTGAGCAGTGAGGATTACAGGCATGAGCCACTTGCCTGGCTGGAAGCCGTTTCATACTCACTCTTTCTGGGACAGTCACACTATGTAGCAAAGGCTGGCCTGGAACTTGTGCTCCTCCAGCCTCAGATGGCCAGTGCTGGGATCACGGGCGTGCACCGCCGTGCTTGGCCAGGCTTACTCTTTACAACAGGGCATCTGCAGGGGTGGGAACAAATTCCACCGATTCCTCTTTCCTGATTCTTGAGTGATTATAGGGACACTGTCATCTCTCCGGAAAGGCAGCTGTGACCTCAACCCATGAACGATGGCAAAAGAATCTGGGGAGGACAAACACGTGTGCAAGTGTGCCTCTGAATTCCAGGGTGGCCTCATGACAGTAGCACCCCCCTCTCCCGCCTGGCTGTGAGACTGGAGCGGGGCTGGGCGAGAGTAGGCGGGCAGCCCTCGAGTTCCTGCCCCAGCTTGCCAGGGGTGGGGGTGGAGTAAGGGCTCCTAGGAGCCCCGAGAAGCGGTGCTGCCGAGCCGGCTCCTGCGCCCTGCTCTCCCTGAGCCCCCTCCTCCTGGCCCTGCCTGGCAGAGGGGACAGCGCTGCCCAGGGCCGCATCTTCTGAGGAGCCAGTGGGCAGGGGTGCCTTTGCCAGGTCTGTGTGAGGAAAACAGGCCGGTGACACTTCCTAGAACCAGAGCTGCACAATGCGGCCCACTGTCTAGCTCCACAGTTACTTAACCAACCCCCCACCTCCCTCCCTCTCTTTCCATTTCTTTCTTCCTTCCTTTCTGTGCCAATTGTGGGGTTTGAACTCAGGGCCTGGGTGTTGTCCCTGAGCTTTTTTCTTCAATGCTAGTGCTCTACCACTTGAGCCACAGCTCAACTTCCAGCTTTTTTGATAGTTTATTGGAGATAAGAGTCTCATGGGCTTTCCTGCCCAGGCTGGCTTTGAACCAATATCTTTAGATCTCAGCCTCCTGAGTAGCTATTGTTATAAGTGTGAACCACTGGCACCTTGCTCCCAGTGACTTCATGGAGACAAAAAGGGACTTTCTTGCCTACATCCAAAGTGTCAGTGAGGGACAGCCACAGGGCAAGGGAGTAGTGACACGGTGCTTGGTGCACAAGGACACAAGTAGCGGGGGTGGCAGAGGGCGGCGCTGCTGTGGGAAGCCTGAGGCCCACTGAGAGGCATGCCGGGTGTGTGTGGGGGCATCATTTTGTTTTTCTCTTTCCAGTCCTGGGGTTTGAACTCAGGGCCTGGGCACTGTCCTTGAGCTTCTCTTGCTCAAGGCTAGCACTGTAGCACTTGAGCCACAGCGCCACTTCTGGCCTTTTCTGTGTATGTGGTACTGAGGAATTGAACCCAGAACTTCATGCATGTGAGGCACGCACTCCACCCCTGAGCCACCTTCCCAGCCTCTGGGCATGAATTTTTATTAAAAAAAATTTTTTTTTTGGTGGTGGGTCTTGAACTTTGTGCCTGAGCGCTGTCCTTCAGCTCTTCAGCTCAAGGCAAACACTCTACCACTTGAGTTACAGTACCACTTCCAGTTTTCTGGTGGTTAACTGAGATAAGAGTCTCATAGACTTTCCTGCCTGGGCTGGTTTTGAACTGCAATCCTCAGATCTGAGCCTCCTGAGTAGCTAGGATTATAGACGTTAGCCACTGTTGCCTGGCTCCTGGGCATGATTTTTAAGCTAATGATGTAGTTGGGGCAAGAAGCTACAATTGGAATTACCAAGACAAGAGGGACCGGGCAGGTGCTGACAGGCCCCTGGGGACTGGCGGGAGCTGTGACTTGGCACGTGTGCTCCTGCCTCAGGGGCCTCGGCCAGGATGGCGCAGACAAGCACACTCTAAACTGCAACTGGTGTATGCTGCAGGTGAGCAACCCAAACAGATCACTGAGTGACTCAGAAGATAGGCTGGGGAGGGGAACTACGGGAAGAAAGACAGACACCTGACTTTAAGCCATGCTACCGTTCTAAGGCACAACACCTGCCCCCCCAATTCTGAATGTATGTAAATATGAGTTTTTTGACTTACAAAATTATATGTCATACAATTTCTCCTCCTCTTCTCCTCTTTCTTATGTTTTCTGGTACTAGGGTTTGAACTTAAGGCTTTGTGTTTGCCAGGCAGATACTCTACCACTAAGCCACTCTTCCAGCTGTTTTTGTATGCCCAGGCTAGACTGGACTGCGATTCTCCTATTTGTGCTTCCCACCATCACTGGGGAGCCTAAACCCACCCATTCACGCAATGACTAAGGAGAGGGTAGCTTTTTTTTTTTTTTGTCAGTCATGGGGCTTGAACTCTGGGCCTGGGCTCTGTCCCTCAGCTCTTCAGCTCAAGGCAAGTGTTCTATCACTTGGGCCACAGTGCCACTTCCAGTTTTCTGGTGGTTTATTGGAGATAAGAGTCTCACAGACTTTCCTGCCTGGGCTGGCTTTGAACCTTGATCCTCAGATCTCAGCCTCCTGAGTAGCTAGGATTACAGGTGTGAGCCACCAGCGCCCGGCTAGGTGGGGTCTTTATGTTAGCACTTTCTAACCCTAAAGACCTGCAGAGCAGGCGTCAACCACAACTGCTACTGATGTCACCAAAGGAATGATTATCTGAGGACGGAGGTATGCCAGGTGGTAGAGCTCCTGCCTAGCAAGTGCTGGGCCTTGGGTTCAATCCCCAGTGCTGCCATGGTCCGAATGAAGCTCAGGTGCTACCAGAAGTCTACCTCAGCCCCTAGTTAGAGTCAAGAACCAGAGGAACATACTGAACAGCACCACATGGATCTATGACTTTTTTTTTTTTTTTTTGGTGTCAGTAGTCCTCGGGCTTGAACTCAGAGCCTAGGTGCTAGCCTTAAGGTTTTTTGTTGTTGTTGTTGGTCGTGGGGCTTGAACTCTGGGCTTGGGCGTTGTCCCTCAGCTCTTCAGCTCAAGGCAAGCATTCTACCACTTGAGCTACAGTGCCACTTTCAGTTTTCAGCTAGGATTATAGGCGTGAGCCACCGGCGCCCGGCTAAAATTTTC